CACTGTCAGATATTTATATTTTAGAGAATGGAACGCCTCAAGGAAGTGTGATCAGCCCAACATTATTTAATGTCATGATAAATGATTTGTTTGAGAATATTAATATCCTGGTTGAAACATCACAGTTTGCAGATGATGGAGCGTTGTGGAAAAGGGCCGGTAATTTTGACACTGTCTTCAAAGTCGTTCAACAATCTCTCTATCTTGTACAGAATTGGTGTGTTCATTGGGGTTTTAAGATTTCAGCTTCTAAATCTTCTGCTATCATTTTTACTCGGAAAAAGATTCCTCATAATTCAAAATTAGTCTTGTGTGGTTCTGAATTGGAGTTTGTCGATAAAGTCAAGTTTTTAGGTCTCTGGTTTGATAAGAGGCTCACCTGGAAACCACATATGGACTATCTGATTCAGAAATGCAGTAAAGTCCTGAACCTTCTGAGAAGCATTTCCAGTACCAAATGGGGTGCAGACAGGAAGTGTTTGTTAATGTTATATAGAGCCCTCATTAGATCTCGACTTGATTTCGGTTGCCAAGCCTATGGATCAGCATGTGGTACACACAAAGCAAGACTTGATGTTGTTCAGTCGAAAGCCCTAAGATTATGTCTTGGAGCGTTCAGGACCACCTCTGTTGAGGCTTTACAAGTTGAAACGGGTAAAATGCCTTTAGATCTCAGGCGTGAAATGTTAGACGTTAGATATATGTTAAAATTGAAATCTTTTGGGAGAAAACACTCAACGTCAACTGTGTTGAATAATTGTATAGAATATTTTCATGACACTTGGAAAAATGGTATGGGACCTTATGCGATGCGATCTCAGAGAACAGCTTTCAATCATACTGTACCTGATGTTCCAATAGATGACACTACTGTTCTGCCTGAAAGGCCACCATGGCTGCTTGAACTACCATCAGTTTATCTTGAGGTCCTGGAGCAGGTAAATAAATGTGAGCCAGCAACTCGAGTTAAAGCTATAGCTGAGGAACATATCCAAAGTCTACAATGGTTGAATGCTCTGCAGATTTACACTGATGGCTCTAAGTGCCCAGTGTCTGGTGGTGTTGGTGCTGGTATATTCATCGTTAATTAAAAGAGAGAACTTTCTATCCGATTGGCTGATCACTTATCAGTATTTTCTGCTGTTCTAGGAGCAATCATTGAAGCATTGCGTTGGATTAATTTTTTAAGGCCTGTTTCAGCGGTAATTTTCAGTGACTGTCAGTGCATTACAAGCAATTCGGGTAGGTTCTTCCTAAGCGAGGCAGGACTTTATCAACATATTCTCGTCCTTTATAATGACTTAAGTTAGATGTAGAATTTTCATGGATCCCCGCTCATGTTGGATTGCTTGGAAATGAGAAAGCTGATAAATTGGCTAAAGCTGCACTAGAATTTGATGAATCCGAACAGGATGAAACAATTTTACCTTCTCCTGCAGAGTTAGGGACCGTCAGTATGGCCCATGCTAAAACAAAACGGCAGCAGAGATGGGTATCATCCTTAAAAGGACGTCATCTCTTTGGCAACGATCCTTTTATCACTAAATTCCACATATCTAGAAATAATCGGAGAGAGGAGGTTCTCTTAACCAAACTTCGTCTTGGGCATTGTGGTCTTGGAGCTTATCTAAATGTTATTAATAAAGACGTTTCTACACATTGTACAGTGTGTAATCAGCTTGACAATGTAGCTCATTTTTTATTGCATTGCCAAAAGTATGTTAATCAGGGTAAGGCAATGGTGGAGGCACTAACAGTTCTCAATTTTGACTTCTCATTGTCTGGTATTTTCTGTTCTAGGAATATTGTTCACCATGATGTTCAGAATGTCATTCTCGCTTATATTAAAGCGTGTGGCAGTTTTGATACTTTATAAAATATCCAGGTACTGAAGCAAACCTTTATTACGGGCAAGGTGTAAATGGGCCTAGTTGCCCAAACACCTATAAAACATTTTACTAATCAATCAATCAATCTTTCTGTTTGACTTATTTGGTTCTTATTTAATGTAATTATTTTAGATATTTGGCAAAAAAGGGGTTTTACATCTGTCAAGTTTCTTTTTTTGAAGAGTATATAATTGCAACACGGCAATAGCATGATACCTTACACTGTACTACAATGACCGCTCCCTTGCTACGTGCAACTTTGAAAATGTCATGTTTTCACAAAAATATGAAAAAAGAGCATTAACACTGACCATGTGTGCAGTATGTTGTTTCTAAACCATTAATAATGTTAATAACACTGGTTTTATGACATAAAACTTGCTATATATGAATATTTTCCTGCGATAGAGCGCACCTCCACAACGAAAATAGGATACACTATCGCACGTGGCTAAATATTTCAACTTTCTAATAAATGTAAGAAATTGACTGACAACAGCTTATGAAATGCCCATCAATCTTAATATTATCTATTCATGTTTCCTGTTCCTGAAGAGTGGATCTCGGCCATGTAACACATCTCAACAGATGAATTTCCGCACTTCTAAAACTCTCTGACCATCGCGGGTCACTCGCTCGCAGTAAAAACAAATACAAATTGTTGTTTTTTAAAATACTCAAGAGAGCATCTATTGTATCAGAATGATGCAAAACAGTCAGCATAAAGCCTCTATGGCTATGCACCTACAGTCCCAGAAATTAAACAAGTTAAAGTCAAATAATATTCCAGACATGGTGCAAAATGCCTCTACGTAGTTTAGATGAAAAACCATTTTGCAAATATATATTACAGAGAATGCTAACACATCATCATCACGATTATACTTATTACTTATTCTCTAAAGCCTATAAATGCCATCTTATTGGCATAATTATGTTTTCAAGTCTCAATCTACATCAATGATATGTGTGTAATGAGATTTACAGTATTTGAATAACTATACAAGGAGTAATCACATTGCAGTTTGGTATCATAACATTATGAAACACAATAAATGAAATTCAGCTCTCTCTATAGATGGATCTATTAGCTCGATCATATAGCAGATAATAAATCAGGTGCAACCTAGGTGCAACGCTTAGTTAACATCATATATTATTCCAAACAATCCTCGGGGGCGCAACAAATGTTTGTGGTTGTTAAACACCGCACTGGGCAATATTCCAGCTATATGACGGCGGTCTGTAAATAATTGAGTCTGGAACGCAATTGAGACGATGACATGCATCAACCAAGTCAGCAAGCCTGACCACCCGATCCCATTAGTCGCCTCTTACGACAAGCATAGTCGCCTTTTACGGCAAGCATGGGTTTGCTGAAGACCTATTCTATACAACCCCGGATCTTCACGGGTCTAGTTGCCTTTAAGTTTGACAAATGAGTGTGAGCACTAACTGGCCTCACGCTTCCAAGATAATACAGCATCTCTGCACAGATCGCTTGTATTCCCAATTCTTTGTAAGGACTTTGACATTTCTGATGACTCCATCTTTGCCCGGATACACATCAATAATTCGAGCAAGGTCCCATTTACCTCTGGGTGCATTATAGTCAACAAGTAACACAATGTCTCCAACCTTTAGCTGTCGGCTTTGAATTTGCCCCTTACTTCTCCTCATAAGTGTTGGAATGTATTCTCTAATGAAACGCCTCCCAACTTGCTGAACAAGCATTTGAACATATTCAAATCTCTTGTGAAGATTCTTTGTTTCCTGAAATGGAGGCCCGTGAAGACGCTGAGGTAGAATAGGTCTTCAGCAACCCATACTTGCCGTAAAAGGTGACTATGCTTGTCGTAAAAGGCGACTAATGGGATCAGGTGGTCAGGCTCGCTGACTTGGTTTGATACATGTCATCAATCCCAATTGCGTGGGTCGATGCTCATTAATCACTGGATTATCTGGTCAAGACTCGATTATTTACAGACCGCCGTCATATAGCTGGAATATTGCTGAGTGCGGCTTTAAAGAACAAACAAAAACAAACATGTAGCACTTTGGTGCTCTTCACTTGCTGCTGTGAACCTCAGCTGCAGCTCTTCCAAGAAGAAAATGATTTGGGGTAAGGGGTTGAGGGTCATTTGGGTCACATGTAGTATAACTCAGTGGTCTGCTGTTGATCAAACATTTCACTTCAGCGAAAGCGGTTGACATTTCATTCCAGGTAAGTATCTGATGTCCAATGGCAACTTGCTAGGCTTGTTTTACTTTTTTATCAAGCTCCCATAAAGTCCTCCTTGATGTGGGCTTAAAGGAGTTATAAACAACCACTTGACTTTATGAAGCACTGCAAAATCCTGGATTTGCTTTTTCCCTTCCTCAAATAATGTTCTGAGTTCTCTCTCTGCCCCTACAAATGAGGTCCCATTATCAGAGATAATCTTTTGTGGCCATCCATGACTGGCAGCAAAGCGCCGAAGAGCTTGAAGAAATGCTTGTGTTGACAGTCCATCAACAATCTCTAAATGAATTGCTCGCACATTTGCACAAGTGAATATTGAACCCCAGGCCTTTGTAGTTTTGTTTCTACCATATTTCAACAAAAACGGTCCAAATAAATCAACACCTGTTACAGAAAATGGAGGGGAAAATGGCATCAATCTTTCAGGGGGAAGGTCTGACATTAAGGTTGTATGGCCAGGTTGTCGCAGCTTTCGGCAAACAACACAGTTTCTCACTACAGCTTTGGCCAGACTCCTTCCTCGAACAATCAAGTATCTTCTTCGTCATTCACACAATGTCCTCTGAGGTCCTGCATGACCCATCTTCACATGTATATCTTGCATTATCCGTGTGCAAATGTAGTGACCTGCCGGTAACAAAACGGGATGTATCTGATCATAGTGCAAGGGAGAATGTCGCAATCTGCCTCCAACAGGAACGATACCATTTTCAACAAACGGAGCCAGATCAATGAAATCCTTTTCCCAGTCGACCATCCTCGCTTGTGTATATTTCAACCAGAACAATTCAGCTGCAGCTACTTCATGACACTGAAGAGAAATTTCATACACAGTCTCCTATGAGACCTTTCTTACTTTGTCTCGAAGTCTATGGATGAACCACAAACAATTGGCTGTAATCCTCAAAATGCCGCTGCCAGCTTGACACTTTCCCTGCATCTATCACTGGTAACACCGAGATGCATGAAGCAACAAGTTTAGATTTCCTTATCTCTACACTGTCATCCACAACTACATCATCTGATGGTTGTTTTGGCCACTGCTCAACTGGAAGTTTCAGAAAAGATGGCCCATGCACCCATCTACCATTCATCCCCTCCACAGATATGCCATGACTCAAGTCATCAGCTGGGTTCAGGGATGTTGGCACATACTTCCAGTGACTTGCATCCCACACTGATTGAATCTCCGCCACAGGAACACCTACGAAGGCCTTGAATGATATTGAATTGGAGTGTATCCAGTGGAGTACAATTTGAAAGTCGGACCACAAATTTACTTCTGATGGCTTCTCTTTGAATTCATCACAGATTGTCTTGGCAAGTCTAGAGGCAATCAAAGCTGCCATGAGTTCAAATCTTGGTATGGTTGTTTGATGCGGTGGAGCTACTCTTGCCTTGGCGAGCACCAACTGTACTTCTATACCACTCACAGTTGGCCACAGTAGATATGCTACTGCTCCATAAGCTCCCATACTTGCATCCGCAAACACATGTAGCTCAGAGGAACCTACAGAGTCACAAGGCTTCAAGCATCTGTTAAATCTTACATGTTCAAGTCCTCTCATTTCTGCAAACAATCTCTGCCAGAGTTCACACATCTCTTCAGGTAAGGGGTCATCCCAGTCCAAGGATTTGCATCTACAGACATCTTGCATGGCCATCTTGGCTTTTATAGTGACTGCTGATGCCAGACCTAGGGGATCATATAACATTGACATCTTTGACAGTACTATCCTATTAGTATATTCCTCTGTACTCAGCTCTCTGACAACAAAGCTCATGGTGTCCGTCACAGGATTCCACATCATGCCTAGAGTTTTGACCTCTTCCCCATCAAAACTAATCTCTGTTTCACTCAACTGTCCTCGCTTCTCAAGTGCAAGCTGTTTGGGGACCTCCTCCATTGAACAATACCATTCCTTTATTCGGAACTGGCCTTCGTCTAGGATTGTGTCAAGATCATGAATTCCCCCTCAAAGCTTGATCTGGAGTTTCACAAGAATGTATTAAATCATCATGTATCGGTCTCTCTTTAATACGCTGGCTGCATCGGGATAATCTTCCTTATGTTGATCTGCAATAAGAAGCACAACATAGCATGCCATGTCAGGTGACACCAAACGTGACTCAAGGAAGTCTGTAGACAGTAGGGGTTCTGGCTGTTTCCATGTCTCTCCACAGGAATCTATGAACATGTGTATCATAATCTCTGAGTTTAATCTGTAAATACATCTTGGAAAAGTCTCCAACTATAGCAACAGGTTCTTCACGAAACCTCAGGAGAATACCAAGGAGGTTCCCTATCCAACCAGGGCCCTTGTACAAATAGGAGTTTTGTGACACACCTTGGTACTGACATGCTGGGTCAAACACCACACGAAGCGCCGTACTTGGTTTATCAGGCCGGTACACTCCGTGATGAGGGAGGTATTACACTGGCATCTGATCACAGTCTGATTTACTCATATCAACTTGCTTAGCCCAGTCATTCTCTTCATATTCATGAATGGCATCATTGTACAAATTTGCCTTTGCTTCATATTTCCAGAGGCACTCGTGAAGAGCAACCTCCTCGTGGTGAGTGCTGGGTAACGCTAATAGCTCTTCCCCCGTGTGGACTCAGGGTAGAATTTGTCCACAGCACCCCATTGCTGGTCGTAAAAGGCGACCGAATTGGGCAACCTGTTTGCCGTGGGTTGCGCCCCTGTGTCGGTGGAGGACGGGATTCTGGTGGTTGAGGGCAATGGAGCCAGGAACAGTGTTCCTTTGGCCAACACACCACTTTGACCCTTACTTCACCTAGACGGGTGGTAGAATGGGCCCGATTCTATCAATCGGCTGGTCACGCCATGCCCTGAGCATGGAATACTTCCACATTTCGACATATATTCAACTATGTTTGATCAGAATATTTTATAACCATGATTATGTGAATTTCAATTTTGCCTAGAGTCCTATGCCAGAAGGCGGTGGCTCATGGGCCAATCTGGCATTATAAACCTCTGAATTCTGTGTTTCTCCAGAAAGGTGTCATGGGCGAATCAACCTGGCATTTCTTCTTTCAGATTCCATAGCTATTCAAGTTTCTCTTTGCTGGAGTATAACATCCCTGTAGCCCTGGTGGTGCAGGCGGGCTTCCACTGCACCATCGTCCTTGTTGACACTCCATGGCGGGTAGGGAGCAGAGATGTCAAAACCTTTACTTTTACCATGGCTCTTCCCCTTCTCTCTGGTTCATCAAAGAATAAGCGTAGACATGTTGAGTCTTTATCATCCGATGAAGGCTTGTCTGAAATTGTTGACTCGTGGCCACGGTTCGTTGTGATTTCATCTTCTGATGACACTCCTTTGAAACTAAATCCATTTGCTATCTCCTTAGGCATTAAAGGTGTCTGTGGAGAGGTAAAAAACGTAACACGTCTCCGAAGCGGTTCACTGTTAGTGGAATGTGCACGGAGACAACAATCTGACAATCTCTTGACATTAACACAGTTTGTGAATACACCAGTTGTTGTCTCAGTGCACAAGACACTGAACTCCTGCAGAGGCATTGTCAGAGACAGGGCTCGCTGCCTTCATGACATGAGTGAGGAGGAAATTGCAGCTGAGCTGCAAACTCAGGGTGTTACTGCTGTGAAGCGATTCACCAAAAAGAAAGATGATGGTACTATTATCAAACTGAATACGTACCTATTTACATTTGCTCTTTCTTCTATTCCTCTGAGTTTAAAAGCTGGATACTTCAACATCGGAGTGGAGGTATACGTACCAAATCCACTCCGATGCTTCAAATGTCAACAGTTTGGTCATGGGGCCAAGTTTTGCCGTAACAACACGGCGTGTTCCCGTTGTGGTGGAGCTCACGAGGGCTCTGAGTGCACCAATACCATCAAGTGTGCTAACTGCAACGGAGAACACTTGGCCTCATCCAAGTCCTGTCCTAGATATGAACGTGAAACTAAAATTCAGAAAATAAAACACACAAACAACATATCTTACTTTGAAGCAAAAAAGTTGGTTCCTGCTCCAAATATTTCAACTGTTACGTACTCAGCTGCAGTTTCCTCCCCAGCACTTGTTGCCAGACCTACCATGTCATCGACATCATGTCAAACTTCGATATCTTGGGTAGATGAACAGCGCATCCTGGATGACCATACCCAGTTTGTTCCTCCTCTGCCCAATATCTCCACGTCAGCCTCACAGACAGACGTTATTTCACCAGAGCCTTCAGTAGATCAGTCGTCTGATCCGGAAATTGTCAGTGAATCAGTACAGGGCGAAGCCCACATGTCTGAAAAAAAAAAGAAGCAATTGAAAAAAAAGGCCAGGGCCCTCCAGCATTTGGAGGTGCCTTCTACTCTACCTGTGGAGGTTCATAATCAGTTTGAACCTTTGCAGATGGAGGTCAGTCCTTCACTCCCAGTCCAGGGGAGTGGACCCCTGTCCGGCTCACGATCTCCCATTGAGCCACCATGAACAGCTCAAATACTCTTCTTCAGTGGAATTGTAGAGGACTAAAGAATAATTTTAATGACTTACAGTTATTGATACAGGATTTTCAACCGTCAGCATTTTGTTTACAGGAGACCTATTTTAAGGATACAGATCAACTTGACATCAGACAATATGCTTCATATCATTTATTTTCTCCTCCAGGGCCAAAAGCCACTGGTGGGTCTTCAATCTTAGTGAAGCAGGGAGTGATCCACAGCCCTGTTTCACTGATTACTCCACTACAAGCTATTGCTGTCCATGTGACCTTGCACATTGTGTTTACTTTGTGCTCTATCTATGTCCCTCCGAATTCATCTCTTAAGCTTGTTGATCTCCAGGCCCTCTATGACCAGCTACCTAAGCCTTGCATCATTATGGGTGATTTGAATGGACACAACCCTCTATGGGGGAGTTCACATTCTAACAATAAAGGTAAAGTCCTGGAAGATTTTATTTCCAACAACAATTTATGTCTTTTTAATGATAATTCTGACACTTATTTACATCCTGGTACAGGTACATACTCTTCCCTGGATTTGTCAATTGTGGATTCTGATCTATTGAATGAGTTTGAATGGTCAGTCCATGACGACCTGTGTGGAAGTGACCATTTTCCAACAATTCTCAAACCTGTTCTTCCATCTGATGTTCCTCCATCGTCAAGATGGAACTTCACCAAAGCCAACTGGACTTTGTTTGAAATACTTTCGTCCAACAAGTTAAAACCTGACCTGTTTACCGATGTCCCTGATCCTGTACAACTGTTCTCTGATGAACTAAACAAAATAGCTGATACATGTATCCCTAAGTCCTCTACAATTACACACATACGTAAACCATGGTTTAATTCCACCTGCAAACAAGCTCGGAAGGCTCGGAAAAAGGCAGAGAATTTTTTCCGTCGCCATCCTATGGTTCATAATTTGAATCAATTTAAAATTTTAAATGCTAAAGCTCGGCGAACGTTTAAACAAAATAAACGCCAGTCTTGGCAGAGTTACGTTTCAAAAATAAACTCACGTACGCCAATGTCAAAAGTATGGAACATGATCCAACGAATCAAAGGTAAGGGTTCTAAATCTAACATTCGCCATCTTAAAATTGGGAATGAATTATTGACAAATACTTCCGATATTGCGAATAAACTTGGTGAAACCTTGGCTAAACATTCTTCCTCTTCTAACTATGTACCTCAATTTCAAAAATATAAAAAACAGCAAGAGAAGAAAACTATTAATTTTAAATCAGATAATGGGGAAGATTATAATGAAATCTTTTCTCTTCATGAGCTTCATACTGCCCTTGGGCAAGCTCATGATACTGCCACAGGAGCTGATAACATACATTATCAACTCTTAAAACACTTACCAGAATCATGCTTAGTAACCCTTCTATTATTATTTGATGAAATATGGACATCTGGCAACTTTCCGTCTTCGTGGCGTGATGCCATAGTTGTTCCCATACCAAAACCAGGACGGGATCATACTGATCCCTCAAATTATAGACCTATTTCATTGACCAGCTGCGTTTGCAAAACCATGGAACGCATGGTCAACAATAGATTAACATGGTACTTGGAATCTCATAATTTAATTACTAATATTCAGTGTGGATTTCGGAAAAATCGAAGTACTGTTGACCATTTGGTTAGATTGGAGTCATTCGTTAAGAATGCTATTATAAACAAGCAGCATGCAGTGTCTATCTTTTTCGATTTAGAAAAAGCATACGACACTACATGGAAACAAGGAATTTTAAAAGATTTACATGATTTTGGGTTGCGAGGCCGTTTGCCTCAATTTATCTCCAAATTTTTATCAGACAGGCAATTTGAAGTTCGTGTGGGTTCCACCCTGTCTGATCATTACAGTCAGGATCAGGGTGTCCCACAAGGCAGTATTCTGTCTGTCACATTGTTCAGTATTAAAATAAACAGCCTATCTAAGGTTTTAACTGATTCCATCGATGGATCTCTATTCGTGGATGATTTTAACATTTCATGTCGTGGTAAAAATATGCGTACTATTGAAAGACAATTACAGTTATGTCTAAACAAAATCCATAAATGGTCATTAGAAAATGGTTTTAAATTTTCAAAATCAAAAACGAATTGTATACACTTTTGTAGAAAATACAAATCACATAATGACCCAGAACTAGTTTTGGATAGCACTCCTATTAAAGTTGTCAAAGAAGCCAAGTTCTTGGGCATTATTTTTGACCACCATCTGACCTTTTTACCACACATAAAATATTTGAAAAATAAATGCCTGAAGGCCCTTGACCTTCTGAAAGTCGTTTCAAATTCAAAGTGGGGAGGGGATCAGAAAACCCTCCTCCAACTGTACAGAGCACTTATCCGCTCTAAACTGGACTATGGCTCCATCATCTATGGTGGAGCCTG